GGCCTTCGGAGCCTCTCTTTGTTCCCTTTGTTCCAACACAATTGTATACGTACAACTTGTGGAAGTCAGGCTTTTGACGATGGTACAAACGGGTTCCTTCGTTGCCGTCTCTAGGCCGGCACTACAAAACCATTCACCAGTTTGACATTACCTAAATGAGCACCAACCAAAAACATCAACCCAAATAAGGCAACCCTTGGATAACCTCATCTGTATCCAATTGAACTGCTCCCAGCTTGGATTGTACCTGATGAAATGAATCAATCCAAAATGATGTCAACTTTCCGCGTGGGACATAAACTAGAACGAAAACAAATAAAATCCCCACCAAACGGTGGTACGAAAAATAACTCTCGTCGAACATCACATGATCTCGACCAACAACTGGATCACCTGACCACTGATCAGTCCAAGTCATGTGACTCGAAAAGCTAAGAAAACTTTCCCACCCTACCACAATATGACACCAAAAGAAAAGCCACGACCAAGCTCGGGGTCGAACCGAGGACTTCTTCCTCCGGAGGGAAGCGCTCTTTCCACTGAGCTACATGGCCTTGACAAAATTTTTTTTACCATTTTATATTTGGCTTAAGCTTCAAAATCGGATGGTAACAGCGACATTGAGGAATTCATAGCCTTGACGGCTCTGGGGGACTTAAATTGGATAGCAAAGGGTTCTAGCCATAAATATACAAATAGTATTTCAAAACGTTTATATGTGTACATCCCCCAATCAAGATATAAGGAGCACACTTCCTCCCCCCCCCAAGTATCACCTACTATCACGGAAATATACAGGATTAATGGAATATACCAGCGGATATCACACGGCTACCGAATCTCCCCAACCCCAACCTATTATGGGTCTTACATTACTCGTAACTCGGGATAATCAACAGGAGTGGTCGACAAGGTACTCTCCAGTACTAAATCTCATTCGAATATTAATTCTCCCTACCTACCTAATCATTCAGTATACCTTTCTCACACTTTGAAATATATTCTACCTCACCACTCCATTGACGTACATTCTTCGCTTCCTGGTGAACATTTGACTTTGCTTGACCCACCCAAAAGGATACTACTTCTTACTGTTGAACCTCTCCATTTCACGTCTCGCCATTGCACGCACTATTCACTTGTTTCTCCTTTATTTACGGGTATAATGACACAAGCCACCACCGCTATCGACCAAACAACCACCGAGGTAACCGTATTCACCGGTTTCCTGGGGGCCGGTAAAACCACCCTTATCCTCTCGCTGCTGAAACAGTTACCCCGGGGTTACCGTGTAGTGGTACTAAAGAATGAATTCGGGAACGCCGAAACGGACAGCGCCCTCCTGCGGGAAAGTAGTATTGAAGTACAGGAGATGGTCAACGGTTGTCTATGCTGTGTATTGGTCGGACAAATGAAAAATGCGTTAGTGGAACTAAAGGAAAAATACCGACCCCAACGCATTATTATCGAAACCAGCGGTTCGGCGTTTCCCGCTCCTATCGCTTGGCAAATCCGCGAAATGGCCAAAGACGGCTTTCATTTGGACTCTATTATGACGGTGGTGGACTGCGTCAATTTTACCGGGTACGAAGATACTAGTTATACCGCCAAAATGCAGGCCCAGTATACCGACCTTATACTGCTCAATAAACATCACCTGGTGACCGAGCGCGAGTTGGACGTTGTGATCGATCACGTCAACGAGCTAAATACCGATACTGTCAAGGTCAAGTGCGGTAGCGACAAGGACGCACCCATTTCTGCCGACCTTATCTTCGGCTTGGATACTCAACTTTTCCAATTGGAACACCAGTGGGAGCATTCGTGTCAATGCGCTAATCACTCAGAACACCAGCCCAATACCAATCATCATTTGGAGGAAGTGGACCGCATCGAAATTAGTAAAACGCTGGACCAATCCGGGTCATCCACAGGCTACGATACCTCCAAACTAGACCAATTCCTAATGACCTTGCCCAAGGAAGATATATACCGCATCAAAGGAATCGTACGTCTCGACCCGCGCACCAGCGAGCAACCTGGTGACCACAACAACCTCTTCATTATCAATTTTGCCTTTGGGCGTTATTCTCTGGCGCCGGTCAGCAATACCCAGACCGATGAGAATCACCAAAACACGGTACTTCGTGTCACCGTGATGGGACAAGACTTGAGGTTGTATTTATCTCAGTTGCAGACCGGATTCGATGTCAGGGCGGAACAATGTGCCTACTTTCGCAGGGGCACGTCTTAAAGATATGTAAGACCTGTAGATGTTATGTCTTAGGGGTGACGTTTATTTAAGAGTAATGTATAATTGGATATAAATATACGGGTTCTATAAAATTTACAGAGCTTATGAGGAGTGACGGTTAAGCCTTCTTTAACTTCTGGAACCAGTCCGTGTGAATATAAAAGGATAACTTTGGAGATTTTTGCTCTAAAATTTCTAAATCGATGAACTAGAAAAGAACAACCCAAATTGGTCAAACAATGTCACCATCACTAAATGAAACTAGAATAACCAAATAGCGGCATACCGAGAAGTCTGTATATGTTAAATAACGCAGTGCTACGCAAGAAAGACACAAACGTCGGGTGCTATGGTATGCTTACCAGTCCCAACCATGTCGACCACCCCAGTCATTATGTGGATAAACGTAATCACCCTCATAAGGGTAACCAGAATATCCCGGGTGGCCCCAGTCATCCCAAGCCCAGCCATCAAAGGAATTCCAGGGACCATACCCACTGCTAAAGTGCCCAGGATCATGGGCGTAGTCCCCTGCGGACCAAATCCCGCGTCTAGCAAGATGTACCGCAGGGTTCGAACGAGCAGCGGGTCGTGAGGAGTTGTCATCCCTTGGGGATAAATTTTCACTGTTGGCAGACCTTGCCTCCCCACGCCTGCTCAAATTTGACGTTCCCAGTTTAGAGTCCAGAAGAGACTTGGCAGCGGTGGCCACGGCCAAATTGATAATCCCATCGATATTGGTAATGGGTGCGGTAATCGTCACCTGATGGAAGAGGCAGAAAACCAGGATACCCAAGGTTAAACCGAACATAGTAGCTGTTGAGGATGCTAAAAATAAGGCGACAGGGATGATAGTATAGCTTGGTGACAAGTCAATATAACCGTGGGCTCAGGTGCGAGTGAGATTTGCCGTTGGTAATGGTTAGCAATGAAATCCCCGAATAAAGATATGTAGCCAGTAAAACCGAAAGGAAAACATGTAGCATCTAAAGCTATCGAAAACGACCATGTGGCCATCACTGATATTTATATTTAGTAACCATGATTACAAAAAAAAACCAGCTTATGATCTCGAACCCATAGCCATGTCCATTACATTTTATCACCACCTAGAATCTAAACCAAAATCGAGTACCATAAATCCAGCCTCTGATAAACACAGAACCAGTAGCAGAGAGAGTGGATCCATCCAAATCTCCAGCGCAGTGCACCCGCTTCCCTTTATCAAAGGAATCTGGGTATACCTCCCCCTCCCTTCAAAGTAGATCCTGCCGTCCATTTAACTTTAACTGCTGTAGGATTATCCCCAACTTTTCGGCAGTCCTTAATGAAGTACACATCGCAATTTGCTCGTGATATACCGCACAGTCCAAAGCATGACACAGAAATCCACCGGTTTCTTTATCCGTTAAACTGGTCAATTGGTCGATCGGAGCATCTGTACATTGGGAACAAAGCCATCGCAGAGCATGGTATTTACGTTCAACACTACGGACAACGTTTGTCAAAGCCAAAGTCGTCCGCTGCGAATCACGAACGCACTGGGCGCACAGATGCTGTCCCTCGGATGACCGTGGCTGTTGGAGGGTTTCGTGGCATATGATACAATGGTTCCTTGTGAAAAATCGTTCTAATGTGGGATTCAGGTCCCCTTTCGATCCACCAGCTTGCTCGTCAGGCTTTGCTAAATCTAATCCAACCATACCCGAGTCCAGCAATGACACTCCTCGTCGTTTGGGCATCGTGGCGTACCACCGATGTAAATCCACCCCGAATAGAGTAAATATGCGGTTCAGGCAAGGGATGATTTGTTTCACGATATAGTACTTCCCGTGGGGACGCAAATAGGGATTGCTAGCGCACTCATAGGGACTTACTACTTGGTCGGCCAGTCGGTCATTAGGTCCCCCATACACCACCACGTAGGGTACTCGTTCTCCATAGGGGGGTTCCCGACGAGGATCCTTGGCCATCTGTTTAAGGGCTACAACCGCTCCCGGTGGCGGTAACCCAGTGATTTTGTACTTACTCAGTCGGACCTCCTTTGCGAAAATGAAATCCCGGAGGGGCCAGCGATTTTGCAACACTCGATCCCATTCGTGGTACAAATATTGACGCACGACGGCAAGGTTGGGATCGGTGAATAACAGAGTTAGGCACTGTTTCATTACTTTTTGCACTAGGGAACAATTGTCACGGCGCACCGTTTCGATTCCCTTGCCTTCGTATTCTGGATGAGTTTGCTCGGGCGACTCGTACTTGAACCCCACGTAGCGTTTCTTGGTTAACAAAACGCATGGATGGTATACCTTTTCCATTTTCAACTTGACCGGGGCAGGGTTCTGTTGGGTGATTACGTTGGCCATTTCTTGCCCTAGTTCAAAAGCTCTGGTTCTGGTAATCCCGCGTAATTGTACAAATACACTGTCCGTATCCCCGTAAACCACTTGTGCATCCCAAGTGGGATGGTTATTAATCGTGGCTATGGTTCGCTCCAAAGTTTGGCGTCCGGTTTGCACAATACTATCGGCCAAGTCCGAACACGGCATACGTCCCGAGAAGCTAGCCCCGGCGTACCCGTACACCACGTTCGCCAGGAGTTTCAGAGCCAGCTGGTAATCGTCCAGTTGAAGCAATGCCGTTTCCATACTCCGGAGCACAACGTCAGGGCGGTTATCAAGTTTGGCTTTGCGATGGTGGTGGATGGCGGTCCGTACTTTCTTCATGCGTTCCTTGACCATACAGCGCGTATCCAATAGTTCCATGAGCATCCTGGCCAGGGTACTTTTCCGAAGTGTGGATTTGACGTACATCCGCGCGTTGGGAGCCACCTGCAGGTGGTGTTGACCGATAAGAACCGCCAGTACTTCCGGAGGTACGCCAATTTGGGTCACTCCTAATTTGCGCACGGAATCCGCGACCAGCGGCCCCAAACAAGTTGAGTAGCAGTAATTGTACGCAATCATAATGGAAGGATAAAGGGATTGAAAATCGAGCACCACCACGGGGTCCACATAAAAAGCTGCCCTGGGTTCCATCACCATGGGGACACACTCTAGCGCAGGTTGGCGCACGACTTGGTCTCGACCAGGTGAGAGAAGTATAAAATTTAAAGGTTTGGTAAGTCGCAACAGGACGGACTCTACCCGATATTGGGAACCGCGGGTGAGCACAGAGAAAAAATCGATCCCGTACAGCTTGGCAAACTCGCTAGTTTGGTGAATTAAGTTGCTTCGCTCGAGTAGCTGTGTATCGTGCCACACCCATTCCAGGTAGTACTGGTACGCCCGCAACTGTTGT